TACTACTACATTCAAGCTTTCACAATAATGTGATTAATTGCATTATTGTCATTTTATATTGTTTATTTCAATAATAAAATTATAATCGAATGTTAATGTATGCGAAGTTTATGTAAAGAGATTTTATTATTTAAATAATTAACAATGAACAATTTTCTAAACACCAACTTGGATTCCTATATCATTTCCCTCACTTCCCTCTCTTTCTCTCTCTATTCTTCAATTAAATATTATTTATATACCATTTAAGTCGTTGGTATTTTGCACTTTGTTCCCTTCAAAGCCCATATGTGTGTAATGTATGTAAAACTCATTATCATCAGATATCAATCCAGTGTAAATGAAAGCTATTGAGGACACAATTAAATAGGCGTGCTTTGTTGTGAACAAACGTCATATAAAATTTTGAAATTAAAAAAAATTCTAATTAAACAAAAGAATTCTATTGAAAACAAAATGGAGGTTCTGAGAAAATTATTTGTAGGTAACAATTATAAAGAGTAAGAAAAAATATTACTGTATATTACAATTGACCTCTTTCAAATATTTGCCAGCGATACCATGATTTCTTCCCGGCGAGATGAATCATATGACAATTTTGCGAAATCATAAATTCCATATTCATCTCAGGATTATAGTTGAAAGGAATATTTAGATATACCAAGTGGTAAAGAATCGCTGACTTGTTTCGCAACTTAAAAAAAATATATTGAAAATTTATGGGTGAGGCACCAGAAGGAGTAAGCCGATATATATCATCTTCACAACAGATCTCATGTTAGGAAAAATATTTGTTTGTGTGAAATTTGAAGAGAATTGGATGCGTATTTCGTTTCCTTTGAGCGTTTTGCTTTTCAAAATATTAAACCCTCTGTGGGGGAGGTACCAGAAGAAATGGTCCGATCTCTACCGTTTTTATAACAGATCCTGTGTAATGGAAATATTGAGATGCACCAAGTTCGAATGGAATCAGATGTTAATTTCGTGTTTTATGTGCTTCATGGTTATTCAAAACTTTGACACTTTGTATGGGAGGTACCAGAAGGAGAAAACTGATACATTCTATCTTCATAGCAGATCTTGTGTGACGTGTGAAATATGATGAGAACCGGATGCTTATTTCGGATTTTATAACCGTTTTGGTTATTCAAAACGTTGACCCTTTCTGGGGAAGGTGCCAGAAGGAATGATCCATGCTCTAATATTTGTAAAACGGACGGACATCGCTACATCGACTCCAAATATCCTGAAACGGAAACCGTTATTTCGATGAGGCACGTTTTGGACGTATCAAATAATAAATATATACCCTATCTAGCCATATGGCTGAGGATATAAATATGACTACAAAAGCCAAAACATCTTAAATTTGGCGGTACAGGTATTTTGGGGGCTATATTAAAATGTGGACAAATCTGACCCATGTTCAGTTCCAGAACCTAAAATGCATCTGAAAAATGTTATCAACCTACTTCATTTCGATCGAAAGCTGGAGTGATTTCCACAGACGGATAGACCGGACACGGCTTATTTCGAGAAACTTATTATACCCTCCATACTATGCATAGTGGAGGGTATAAGAATTCGACTGCATGCAACTTTTGGTGTTAAAAATTTTCACTTTTTCTCATATTCTCCATATTTTCTAAACAATTATTATCCAATTAACATATCACAACTCACATCTATAGCTTGTCCAGTAAAAAAAAAATATTTCCTCGTTTGAATTTATGATTAACACATTCCACAAATATTGAAATTCTCTACAAACAAATAATGTTGAAAAAATGCCAGACAGACAGTGGGAGATTAAATATCTAAAGCCTCGAGCAATAATCAATATACAATGACAGATTTTAATAATAAATATGTGTTTTGACAGATATGCTTTTTAAATGAAAGTTTTAAAATTAAGAATTTATACAAAGGAAAAAAAAAACGACGACAACGAAGGAGGGGAAATACTAATAAATGTAAAACAATCCGATTTGGTTTTCAATTATAAAATATGGGTTGTCGTTACATTGGCTATAAGCCTTTAACAGCAGTTGTAGGCTAGAACTTCCTTTTTCTCCAAGCGAGTTGGCTTTTTTAGACATTGGATCTTCGAATAATCGGGATATTTTTCTTCTCAAATCATATTGTTGAATATGTGGTGGTAGTGAAGTAGAAGATTTAAATATTTAATTTTGAATGTCGGATGTTTCCATGGAAATCTTCTGAAAAAGGTAATGTACAATTATATGGGGACTATACGAAAAAGTGAAAAGGCAAAGTTCTGTCACAGGAGGCATACCTCAATATAAGCACTAAATAGCGATTTTTAAACTATTACGTGTCAAAATGGGGCTAAAATCGTCAAAATACTGAATACGGGGAGGTACGAGTATAGGGAGACTAGGGAGGGTATAAAAACGAATTGTTTTTTTTAAAATCAATGACAGGAATACGTATTAAAAATATTAACCAGTTTTACCTTCGAATTGGAAGATTGAATAGATCAGATTTTTGAAAGCAAATCTAGATATGAATTAATCAAAACAACTCGTTGCATTTGATTTCTGCAGTTTTACGAAGTTTTTCTACCTCCTTATTGTCCCACGTATTTTATATATTTTTCTGAATTTTATGTGTTTTCTTAACCTCTCCTATAGCCCTTTAATCAAATCACCCTTTCATATTTACAGATCTCCGCTACCACCTTATGGGTTTAGGTTTAATTATACCCTACATCACATAGTGGTTAGCGTATTACGTCTTTGTGCATTTGTTTGAAAAATGCAGAAGGAAGCGTAACTATGGGTCTACTTTTGAGGATCTTCATAGAATCAGGTCCAAACGACCTGAATTTCGGAACATGCGATCAATTGCAGTCCAGATGCAAGTACATCAAATATATTTTTTTATCCGATTTGGGGTTTTAGGTCCTTCACATGCGCTCCAAAAGAATGATATTTGGTAACATATAACTTATTGAGCTCAAGAATGCCCCTGTCAAATTTTATCGAGATTGGATCAAATTTGGATATAGCTCACATATATATCTTTATCCAATATCAGGTTTATTGTGCACCAAATGGCCAATATTAGTCCAAATGACTTGAATTTTTGCACATCCGAATTCAGAATTCAGTTTAGAAGCTAGTACACCAAATTTGGAGAAAATTGGTTCAGATACAGCTATAGCTCCCATATATATGGTTTATCCGAGTTGGGGTTTTAAGTCCCTCACATGCGTAATATGCCCTCGACAGCAGTGATCTTTGGTACCAGATATCAGATACAGCTCAGAAATAAGTGCCTAAAATTTTGTTAAGATCGGTCAAGATTTAGATATGCTCTCATATATATCTTCAACCGATTTTGGGTTAACTTTGCAGCAAATGTCTAATATCAGCTCAAATAGACTGAATTTTGTAAATCGGTTCCGATATAGCTATAGCTTCCATATATATGTTTCATCGGATTTGCGATTTTAAGTCCTTCACATGCGTAATATGCACTCAACAAGAATGACAGTTGGTACCGGACATCAGATTCACCTCGAAAATACTTCTGTCGAATTTAATCAAGATTGCTTCAGATTTTTGTATAACTTCGATATACATCTTCATCCGACTTTACGGTTATTGTCCACCATATATGTAATATCAGCCCGAATTGGATAGATTTTTTCATATTCAACTCGGTGCGGTATACAATAAATATTTTTAATGTAATTCTCGTCGATGTCATATTATGCACTATATTTGGTACTAGAGGTACAAGGGCCTCTATCAAATTTGTTGAAAATCGATTCAGAGTTGGATATAGTTCCCAAATTGTGACTACTCTGAAGCTGATACGCATTCCCATAATGTTCATAGTTGGTATGATTCCCAATATAAAAAATTTTGTTACAGGAGCTCTACTAAATACGCATAGTGGTGTAGGGTATCATATAGTCGGACCCGCCCGACTTTTGACCTTTCCTTACTGGTTAAAAATTGATGATGCCCTCGGAAGACGCAATTACACAATTTTTCCTCGGGCGTACAACAAAAAAAGGATGTTATGTTCCTCCAGAAATAAATGCCAAGGGAAGCAGATAATTCTGTTTTAGACACGACTTGGGGTTTCAAGAACAAAAATATTAAAAAGTTCCGTAGTGTAATTCCTTAACACATTTTTGACAAAATTGGTATCCATCGGTAGGTCTTAACGAGTACTTTTTTTCGTTAATTACCGAAATTGTAAGCATTCGAATTTTACCGACTTTTGTAGGTAACTAAAAAATGAGTTGGAGAATTCCACTACAGATGTAGAATTTTTGAAATAACCAACTAGCAATCCCTCAATTCTAATCAATTCCAGTGTGATGGCAACTCTTGCGACAAAAGAAATATAAATAAACACCAAAAGAGAGATCGGAGAAGTGTCATTCTTGTTAGAATAAATTCCATGGATTCATAGATTCCAATTCTAAAGAACAGTAGTGGGTAAGTCAAACACAGATACCAAATAATCAAATATTTTAATCAGAATATTGAATTAAAAAAAGCAAAAGAGAATATTTGGGAGAGAGAGTGAGGAAGAGAGAGTGAGGAAGAGAGAGAGAGATCTTCTCTAGACAAGAATAAAATTACAGACAATTGTGAAACGTAGCGGATGAACGCCAGTCGAACCAGGCAAGGCAGCAAATAAAAGACAAAGAATATTACGAAAACGAGAAGAATAACAGAAACCCGTGAATCAGAAATGAAATTAAATGCAGGCAATTAAAAATTAAGAAAAAAAAATAAAAAATGGGAAAGAAAAGTTACGGTGAAATCGAGACAATGGAAATTTACATAGAATGTAAATTTGTGTACGTAAGAGAAAGAGAGAGAGAGGGACTTCAAAGTTCACAGGGACCAAGAGTTCGAGGAAAAATAACATATTTACGGAAATTTATTACTTGCAATTCTAATTGGGTCGGATCATTATTTTTATTCCAAAATTTAAGTGGTAGTAATACTTACTGCTACGATTTCCTTCCTTGACGCGATATGTCAAATTGTGAAAAGCCAAATCCACGGCCGGCCGCTTGGGCAGATGTTGCAGCGTTTTTGTTTGGACGGGCACAATTTGGGCCTTGTTGCCCTGTCGGCTGTCACTTAAAAGATTTTTATTTAATAAATCGCTTTCCACCATTTTGCTACAATTTTTTTTCTTAGAACTTTTTCTATTTTGATTTCATTCAAAATCAAATCACAGTAACACAGATTTTTTAATAAATATTTTTTAGTTTTGGGGGCGGATTATCTTTTGTTTTTACAAATTACGTCTTGTTTTTCCCATTTGTTGTTGTTTTTGTATAGGATTTTTCAAACTCCACTGCCAAGAGTTTGTTGTTGTGGTGAACAAAAACTACGACGCGTTTTCTTTGTGTTCTTTCCGAAACGAAGATACAAGAAACGTAACACAACGAAGAACACCGATACTTGTTTTTCAAAATCAAAGGGCCTTTCGTTGGTATTGTTGCTGGTGGTGGTTTTTTGTATCTCGAACTTATTTTTTTCTTTTTTGGTTTACAGTTCAATATTTAAGTTTTCACCGTTCCCATGCACTACACTTTGGCCCCCTTTACACCCGAGATATTTTCAAACAAAGAACAACGAACGAACGAATAACTGAATGAATCTGGCGAGGAAAACCCCAACCGCTCGTATACACGGTGTGATCGCAACTAATTTCTATTGAATGCGGCTGTGGTTCGGGTACTTGGTACTTTGGCGTTTTTCTTTGCCCATTTAATTTTTTTTGTGTTTTTGCCTCAGCTTGGCTTTTCAGCTGATATGGATGGAGTGGCGTTGTTGTTTCGCTGTATGTGCGCGCTGGAGGTAGTAACAGCCGTCTATAAAGGTGATGATGATAGTGGCGGTGGTGGTATTGCCTTTGTTGTTGTTGCTATATTGATTAACCAGTCCTCAGTCCACTGTACGTTCGTTTTAATCGTTCTGATGACTACTGTCACTAGAACAGAAATATCGAACGAATAAACAACGACATCAACAGCATTTTATTATCAGCTGAGGTTTCTCACCACCACCAGCAACTGAATTGATTCTCTTTCTCACTGAATGGAATCCCACTATGTCGCTACTAAATTGATGTGGACAACTCTTATAAGAATCCCATTAGTTATGGCTCTGCCTCTCTTTCAAAGATAGCGGCTTGGCAACTCTACACAAAAATGTATCAAACATTTTCTTTGTTTAGAATTGGTATTACAAAAGTAATGCGAGAGAGCTAGTGAGAGCACATATGAAATGCTCTCCAAATATCTAGAGAATATCAGTAATATCAATGCAGCGTTTTTTTAAGCTCCATAATCACATAAAAATATTAATCAAATTAAAATCGCGTTAAGTGTGGAAGAAACGACGATCTTATGCTAAGTAGGCAAGAAACCGTATAGGGACGAACTCTGATATGAAGTGATCGATAGCAGTTGTTTTTGTAGAAAACTATAAAAATTTCCAGGAAGTTATCAGATTTCTCCAATCATCGCAAGTAACCCCATGCAGATATGTATGGGTGTTGTGGCAAATGCAGTCAAGAGGAATCCTATAACAAATAACGCACGAGAAAATACAGGGAGGAAAAAAATTAAGGAAAAAAGAGAACCACACGGTTTAAATGTTGATTTGATTTTCATGGTACAAGCTAAACTCATTAAAAAAACACCTCCAGCACTGCATTTTTATACCCTCCACCATAGTATGGAGGATGTATTAAGTTTGTCATTCCGTTTCTAACAACTCGAAATATACATTTTAGAACCCACAAAGTATATATATATTCTTGATCATCATAAAATTCTATATCGATTTATCGATGTTGGTCTGTGGAATTCACTCTAGCTTCCGAACGAAATAAATATAATAAATAAAATTAATAAAATTTTAAAATTATATAATGTCTGCACGACTTTTGGTATTGAAAAAGGGCCGTGTAGGTCCACGTTTTGGTATAGCCCCCATAAAACGGTACCTCCCGATATTCGGTATTTTGATGATTTTGGCAACATTATTCACCAGAATTGTTTCAAATTTGGTATTTGAACTTCGCAATGGATACTGCAGCCTAAGACAGAAAACTGTCTATGAAGATCCACGTCTTCGTATATCTCCAACATAACGGTACCTCTCGATATTCCGTACTTTGATGATTTTAGCCACATTATTCACCGGAATTTTTTTCAAATTTGGTGTTTGAAGTTCGTAATGGATACTACAGTTTATGTCAGGAAATTGTCTGTGCAGGTCCACGTCTTCGTATAACGCTACCTCCTATATTCGGAATTTTGATGATTTTAACTCTATTATTCACCGATATTTTTATTCAAGTTTCGCATTTGAACATTGTGATGGATTATGACAAAAGTTGCCTATGCAGGTCCACATCGTCGTATAGACCCTAATATAACGGCTACATTCAGCATTTTTAAAACTTTAAAATAATTTTTATCGGATTTTATTTTTTTGAAAACTGGCAAAATCGTTCCAAATGGTGGAGGGTATTCAAAGATCGGCTCGGCCGAATCTAGAACTAGCAGTAGAAAAAAAGTTTACTGTACTGTGCCGATCTGCAATTCAGTACATCATAAAACGGTTTAAAACAGATGGATGTGTAGAAAATAAGTCATAAACGGCAAATAATATTTAACTTGAGTAATGAGCAGTATATTTTACGGCAGATCAAAAAGACTCCATTTTTAAGTGCACCGAAGATCGCAACAATTCCTGAAGAGGATTTGGGAAAAGTATGTTGCCTTCAGACAATAAGAAATATACTTCATAAGGCGAATTACAATGGAAGAAGGAAGGAAGGCTTATAAAGTGCGGTCATGGTCCATAAAGAATTTATGGAGCTTTTTCGAAGGAAAATCCGCGAGCATTTAAGGAAAGAAGATTTGAAGAAAGCTTTGTTGGAAGAATGCAAAAAATTGAACCTAGTGTACGAGTTTAGCTTTGGCATTGAAATATCAACTCTTTTAATATTTATTTATTTACTATAAATGAATTAAAATTTTAAATAAATGTTGTTTATGTTGTGAGTTACATATTACGAACGTGACGGATGAAATAACCCGATGAAATATATAACGAAAGCTATAGCTTTATCTTGATCGATTTTCACCAAATTTGAAGTATTTACTTCTAGGCTGAATTTGGTCGTGTGGACTGATATTTACAATTTGGTACACAATAAACGTGGAATCGGATCTTTATCCAAATCTGAACCGATACCGATAACATTTGGCAGATGGAGCTATAGCTATATCTTAACCGGTTTTTGCTTCTTGCTTCTATGATGTATTTGATTATATGTGCGAAAATCCACTTAATTTGGGCTGATATTAACCAATTTGTATACAATAAATGTCAAATCGGATAAAGATTTTATGGAAGCTATATTCAAATCTGAACCGATCTTGATGAGATTTGGCAAAAGTGTTTTTGTGCTCTATGAGATAGCTGGTACCAAATACCATTGCTGTAAGTTACATTTTACCAACATTAAAAGATTTAAACACCAAATGATATTAACCAATTGGTACACAATAAACCTCAAATTGGATAGAGATGTATATGGGAGATATATCCAAATCTGAGCCTATCTTGGTGCAATTTGAAACTGGTATTGGTAAGACAAAAAATTGACTTATGCAGTTGCACGATATTTGGTATTTTTATGATTTTAAAGACAAAATTCATCGGAATGGTTTTAAATTTCGTATTTGAAGTTTGTAAAGGTTTCAACCTATGACAGAAAATTGCATATGTAGGTACCCTAATTTTTCGGGATTTTGATGATATTATCGACATTATTCAACGGAATAGTTTTACATTTCGTAATTGAAGGTACTAAGTCCTACTACAGCTTATGATTAACAAGTAAAAAAGCTGTAAATTCGGCCGGGCCAAACTTTGAATACCCTACACCATATGGAACGAATTTGGCAATTCTCAAAAACAATAAAATCCTATAAAAATGCTGTTAAAATATTAATAATACCGAATGTAGCTGTTTCATTGGGGTCTATACGACGACATGGACCTGCATAGGTAACTTTTTTCATAAGCCATTACAATATCCATATGCAAAACTTAACAAAAAAAAGAAAAATCGGCGAATAATGTAGCTAAAATCATCAAAATACCGAATATCGGGAGGTACCGTTATATGGGGGCTACGAAGACGTGGACCTGCACAGACAATTTTCTGTCTTTGGCTGTAGTATCCATTACGAACTTCAAATACCAAATTTTTTTAACAATTCCAGTGAATAATGTCGCTAAAATCATCAAAATACCGAATATCGGGAAGTACCGTTACATGGGGGGCTATACGAAGACGTGACCTGCACAGAAAATTTTCTGTCTTACGCTGTAGTATTCATTACGAACTTCAAATATCAAATTTTAAACAATTCCGGTGAAAAATGTCGCTTAAATCATCAAAATACCAAATATCGGGAGGTACCGTTAAATGGGGTCTATACCAAAACATGGCCCATTTTCAATACCAAAAGTCCTGCAGACATAATATACACTTGAGTAGAATTTTATCAATCTACTTTAATTTGTTCGGAAGCTAGAGTGATTTCCACAGACGGACGGACATCGCTCAATCGACATAGAATTTTATGCTGATCAAGAATATATATACTTTGTGGGGTCTAAAATGTATATTTCGAGGTGTTATAAACGGAATGATAAACTTAATGTACCCTCCATACTATGGTGGAGGGTATAAAAAATGCGTACACAGGTCCTCGCGTTCGTATAGCCCCCATATAATGGTTTTCATTAAAATAGTATTTTTTACGAAATTTGTTTAACATTTTGCATGTTTCTTCCAAATGGTGGAGGGCATTAAAAGTTCGGTCCGACAAAACCTAGCTGCTTTTTTACTTGTTATATATTTTAGCAGGACCCATTACAGTAAGATATTGCGCAGCTTTAAGTCAAAATCATAATATTTTCGACAAATATTGACAACACTAATGTTCCTGAAACTCCTCTCATACTTTCCTTACATTATTTCTCTTTCTCTCTCTCTCTCTCTCTTTGGGGTTCACGAAAGTCGACATCGTTTGCTGCCTCTCATGTAGGATGTGATAAGGAATATCGCTTCGAATTGTGAGACTATTGTTGTTGTTGTTGGTGCAATTTAATTTTAATCTTGTTGTTGTTTTAATTATTACTTGTTTCGTTGTTTTTGTTTGGTAATTTTTCTAATAAGTGCGGTTTGCATTAGTAATGGGCAAATTGTGAACTTCGAACCCTTACTGAACGTTATGTCCGATAATAAAAAACACATTTTTTTGCGATCTTGAAATAAGCATTGTTTCAGTTGATGTTGTTGTTGTTGTTAAGAAATATAACTTTTAATTGTTGTGTATTTTTCATAAAACAATTGAAAAACAAAAAATGATTGCAAATGGAGGCGAATAACTTTTTAATTCCAGTGATGAAATAATGAAATTATGGGGAATTGAGACCTTTTTAAACCTAAATAAAATGAGCCGCAAACCGTTTTCACCTTCATTGCTTATTTTGCTCCAGCCTCAATTTTTTCTGAGAATATTTTCACCTTTGTCGAAACGATGTGTATAATTAGCAAACTGAGATGTATTAGCATTCTTATGAGATTCCTGATTTTTTATTCAATATTTCAGATCAAGTATCTTAATAACTGGTTATTTGCCAATATTCAACAGTTTAATCAAGCCGAATCAGAGCTAATAACCGTGTCTACTGCAACGTTTTATGTCCTCATCTAAAATAAATAAATGTTAAGGTTTGAGTGCAACGAATTAAACTGAAACTGAAACGAATTAACTGAAATTTGCTATTTAGAGCCGAAGTTGAGGACTTTTGGTATTGAAAATGAGCTATGAAGGTCCACGTTTTGGTAGAGTCCCCATATAATGGTACCTCCCGATATTCGGTATTTTAAGGATTTTAGCG